GTGGCACCGAACAGCCCGTGTGAATCCCAGAGCTTCCTCCGCGGTTTAACAGAGGGAAGTGCCGAGCCCTTGGGGTGCTGCTCAGCAGCTGCGGGCCAGCACACACCACCCCCGACAGAGCCCCTGGGGCTCAGCCCCCGCAGCCTCCTGCACTGTACACCCCGTGGTCTCCCCTCCCAGCCCCTGGCCCGGCCCAGAATCAGGTCTGGTACTGGAGGTGCCTCCCCAGGCCCTCAGAACTCATCTCAATAACTCTTCCCAAGAATGATGTCAACAGAAAGTGCCAACAGTTTCACCCTGATCGGAGAGGCGTCAGACGGAGGCACCATGGAGAACCTCAGCCGCAGACTGAAGGCAAGTGGGAATAGCCTGCCAGACTCGGGAGCTTGTGGTGGAGCATCCCTTTGTCCTGATGCTCTGCAAAACTGAACTGCAGAGTGCCCTGTAGCATTGTGCTTCCAGGGGCCTGGTTGGTGAGTATTTTGGCAAAGTGGGATTGTTCCAATCAGTGTTTGACCTGCAGAGAAGACTTTGCCACGCAAACTGTTGGAAACCAGGTGGCATGTGCCTGTGGCTTCACCTGCATTGATGTGAGCTCTCCCTGCAGGTCACTGGTGACCTCTTCGACATCATGTCTGGGCAGACAGACGTGGATCACCCCCTGTGTGAAGAATGCACTGACACTCTACTGGACCAGCTGGACACACAGCTCAACATCACAGAGAACGAGTGCCAGAACTACAAGTGAGTGATCCAGAGGTGGAGCAGGATAGCACGTATAGCTCAGATGGATGAGAGGTGGAGGGGCTGGCAGTGAGGGACTTCCCAGCATCCCTGTTCTTCTCCTTTAGGAGGTGTCTGGAGATACTAGAACAGATGAACGAGGATGATAAGGAGAAGCTGCAGACAGAGCTGAAAGAACTGGCACTGGAGGAAGAGCAGCTGATTCAGGAGCTGGAGGACGTTGAGAAGAACCGCAAGGTCGTGGCTGAGGACTTTGAGAGAGTCAGGGCAGAGGCTGAGCGGCTGGAGCAGGAGGAGGCTCAGTGAGTGAGCTGCCCCTACAGCATGTGACAAGGGTTGCAGGCAGTGTAGAAATGGGGTGGTGACGTGAGACATCTGTAAATGTGCCCAAACACAAGTGTCTCATTCTCTGCAGAAGGGAAAGTGTCCAGACCACGCCGACCCGGTGAGCAGCCACTGTCCTGCAAAGGCTAACGCTCAGCACTTCTTGTCTTGCTTTTGCCCCAAGGTACCAGAAGGAATACTGTGAGTTCAAGAGGCAGCAGCTGGAGCTGGATGATGAACTGAAGAGCGTGGACAACCAGATGCGCTATGCTCAGATGCAGTTGGATAAGCTAAAGAAAACCAACGTGTTCAATGCAACTTTTCATATTTGGTAACGCAGGCACTGGAGAGTCCTGTCCCTCTGTTGGAGCCTGCAGTGTGGGGCAGTTTAAGTTACTGCCTTCAACAGGGAAGATGCAAGTCAGGTCACAGTTACAACAGAGTAGCTCCCAGCAGCAGCAGCTGGGTGAGGTGTGCTGGGCTGTGCTAGGCCATGGGACTGGGAAATGGCTCCTTCACCAGCCCCAGTAATGCACTGGGATCGCAGGTAGCTGAGGGGGGCTGGTTGGAGCTCTTTGTTGTGTTTTTATGAAGAAGGGGGAAGGAGTGGTTGGTGTTTACTTACAGTTGTTAAGCAGAGCCCAGACCCTCGGTGTGTGGCTGGCACTGTGTGTGCCATGCTGCTGGGACACAGCCCCTGTTGGTTATTGTGCCAGGAGCCGTTCCTGGCCCAGCACACTTATTTATAACTCCTCTTATCACAGGCACAGTGGGCAGTTCGGCACGATAAACAACTTTAGGCTTGGCCGTCTCCCCAGCGTTCCCGTGGAGTGGAACGAGATCAATGCTGCCTGGGGGCAGACGGTGCTGCTGCTGCACGCCCTGGCCAACAAAATGGGCCTGAAGTTCCAGAGGTACATACAGCACCATACACAGCTCACTGAGCCCCAAGAGGGAGGCAGACTCAGGTGCCTGTAATTCTGTCTCCTTTCAGATACCGTCTAGTCCCCTATGGCAACCACTCCTATTTGGAGTCCCTCACGGACAAATCCAAGGTAGGAGTTCCTGAGCAAGTCGTGGGACATTGCCCTTGAGTGCCAGAGCCCTGGTCACACTGGAGGCACAGGAAACAAACTGGGTGTCTCTGAGTGTGCAGCCAGGCACAGTGCCTGCCCCAGCGCCTCCAGCATGGGCACGCCTCACTCTGCATTCTGTATCCGGGGGCATTCAGTGGCAGAACTGCTGGACACCCTGTAGCTGGCCAGAGGCAGAGGGCATGATCTGGGATGGCTGGCAGATGCACAGTGTAATTTGGGCTTGGTGGAGGTCAGGGACACGTGCCCACTTGTGGGAGGCACTGAGACAAATCAAGCCTCACTCGCTCTGTGCCACAAACTGTTTCTGAGTGTCCCATGGGAAGTTTAAGCCTCACATGAGCTGCACTGACTGTATGTAAAACCTGTTTTCCAGGAGCTCCCGCTGTACTGTTCCGGAGGCCTGAGGTTCTTCTGGGACAACAAGTTTGACCACGCTATGGTGGCTTTCCTGGACTGTGTGCAGCAGTTTAAAGAGGAAGTGGAGAAAGGTGAAACGCGGTTTTGTTTGCCTTACAGGTGAGTGTTGCCAGGTAACTGTCAAATTAACCCGTGTGCTGTGCCCTGCACTGCCTGCTGTTTCAGTCCTGGCTTTCCAGAGTCATCTGGAATTACTGAGGATGTGCATTTTCTAGTTTAATTGAAATTTAAAGCCAACCCCTGGGGGGAATACCTTGCTAGATTGCTTTAAAATCAAAGTATTCTTGCAGGATAATATGAATGGCAGATTGAAAAATGAGGACTTGAAACCCGTGTGCTGTGCCCTGCACTGCCTGCTGTTTCAGTCCTGGCTTTCCAGAGTCATCTGGAATTACTGAGGATGTGCATTTTCTAGTTTAATTGAAATTTAAAGCCAACCCCTGGGGGGAATACCTTGCTAGATTGCTTTAAAATCAAAGTATTCTTGCAGGATAATATGAATGGCAGATTGAAAAATGAGGACTTGAAGTCGAGATGAAAT